GTTGCTCCATATAGACTTCCTCCTCAAGATCACTATGCAAAAAAGCATTCTTAATGTCCAACTGATGAAGAGGCCAATGACGAACGACAACCATAGATAGAAAAAGACGGACAAATGCTATTTTAGCCACAGGGGTGAAAGTGTCGCTATAATCTAGCCCAAATATCTGAGTATACCCTTTGGCAACAAGGCGAGCCTTAAGCCGATCAACCTGACCGTCTGGACCAATTTTGACTGCATAAACCCAACGACAAACAACAGTAGATTTACCTGCAGGAAGAGAGACAAGCTCTCAAGTACCACTCTTATGCAAAGCAGACATCTCATCAACCATAGCCTGCCTCCATCCAGAATGAGAAAGTGTTTCACCTGTAGTCTTAGGAATGGAAATAGAAGACAAAGATGATACAAATGCATAATGGGGTGATGATAGACGATGATAACTCAAGAAGGTATAATGAGGGTTAGTATTTCGAGTGGATCGTATACCTTTTTGAAGTGCAAGTGGTTGGCTAGGAGGAGGCAAGTCTGCAGTACGAGCAGGGTCTGGCGCAAGACATGAATCATCTGGTACTAGTGCTGGACGCGGACGGCGATGATAAGTTAGGAGTGGTGGCACTACATCTGGAGATGTAGAAGTAATCGTAGATTCCTCAAAAGTTGGTACAGGTAAAACCTGAGGTATGGGTAAGACCATAGAAACATCAGGATGATCAGAAGACGTATAGTAAGGCTGAGACTCAAAGAATGTAACATCAGCGGACATAAGGTAACAATGAAGATTATGTGAATAACAACGATACCCTTTTTGAACTCGAGAGTAACCAAGAAAGACACATTTGAGGGCACGAGGGGCTAATTTATCTTTCCCTGGGGCTAAGTTATGAACAAAACATATGCTCCCAAAGACACGAGGGGTGATAGGATAGAGATGTGACTCAGGAAACAGTATGGAATGTGGAACCTGATTCTGAAGAGAAGATGAGGGCATCCTATTTATTAAATAACAAGACGTAAGAACTGCATCTCCCCAAAAATGCAGCGGAACATGGGATTCAAGGAGAAGAGTACGAGCAGTCTCAATAAGATGCCTATTTTTCCTTTTTGCTACACCGTTTTGTTGATGGGTGTATGGACAAGTAGTCTGGTGAATAATGCCTTGGTGAGTCATAAACTCCTGAAATTGGGAGGATAAGTATTCTAAGGCATTATCACTACGAAAAGTACGAATAGAAACACCTAATTGATTTTTTATTTCAGCAAAAAAAACTTTTAAATATAGAAAATAACTCAGAACGATCTTTCATTAAGAAAAACCCAAGTACATCTTGAATAGTCATCAATGAAACTAACAAAATAACGAAATCCTAAGGTGGAATTGACTCTACTAGGACCCCAAATATCAGAATGAACTAATGAAAAAATAGACTCTGAACGACCCTCAGTACTACGTGAAAATGTAGCACGAGTGTGTTTCCCAAGTTGACATGACTCACAATCTAATTTGGATAAACTAGACAAACTAGGCACCATCTTTTGCAGTTTGGATAGACTCGGATGTCCCAAACGTTTGTGAATTAGATCTGGGGAATCTGTAACGGAGCATGCTTTCAAGGAATTTGGAGAGGCAAGGTAGTAAAGGCCTTGTGATTCATGTCCTGTTCCAATTGTCTGTCCCGTACTGCGGTCCTGCATGAGAAAAAAGTCATCAAAAAAAGTTATGCTACAATGTAGAACCTTCGTCAAACGACTAACAGATGCTAGATTAAAAGGAGAACCAGAGACATAAAGAACAGAGTCTAGGGTGACAGAAGATAAGGGTTTGGCTTTTCCAACCCCTTTTGGTTTTGTTTGGATCCAATTAGCTAAAGTAATAGCAGGAAGAGATTGTGAATAAACAATATCGGACAAAAGTGATTTATTACCAGAGATATGATCAGAAGCCCGTGAGTCCATGACCCATGATCCAAAAGTACTAGACTGTGACACACAAGAAAAAGAATTACCCGCAACAGAAACATCAGGTTGTGCAATCGAAACTACTTGTGAAGATGTTTGTTTATTTGCACGATACTGAAGGAACTCATCATATTCTGTCTGAGCAATATGAGCATTATTGGATGGTTGATTAGGTTGAGCACCATATGCTACTGGTGGAGATGTTTGTTTACTTGCGCGATTTCGAAGGAACTCATTATATTCCTTAAGAACAATAGGATCATAACTGGGTGGTGGACCATGCAAAATATAACATATATCACGAGTGTGTCCAGATTTATGACAATGACTACACTTGGATCGAGGTTTTCCCAAACGCCCCACCCCTCGCCGATTCTCCATAGACTGGTATGTACGCTTTTCTGTGGTTTGAGATGCAAGAATAGAGGAGTCATCCACTTTGTGACTGGAAGGTGCAGCAAGACGAAGCAGACGAGAGAATAATTCATCAATTGAGGGAACTGTAGGACTAGCTAGAATCTGGTCACACACAAAGTTATGGTCAGTAGGAAGTCCAGCAAGTGTAAGAACTAGAAACAATGTATGCCTTTGCTCTTGTTGCTTTTCCACGTTTGTAGTGATAGGCATCAATGTTTCAAATTCCTCCATGACTGTCTGTACTTGTCCCAAGTAAGTAGACATATCGGATTCTTGTTTCTTTAAGTTGGTCATCCGAGATATCACATCATAGAATCGAGATATGTCATTAGTGTATAAAGCACGTGCCTTTTCCCAAACTAAATAACATGTCTGGGATGGGCGAAACAAGGGCATCAACTTAGAATCAATAGAGCGCCAAATGAGACTACATAATTGGGCATCCACTTTCTCCCATTGTGCTTTGGCTTTTGCACCTTCGTCACTAGACTTTGTCTTTTCATCTTCAACGCAAGCATTATTTATTAAGTGATCGTGAATACCTTGACCTTTGCACCACAACGCAACTGAAGAAGCTCAAGCTAAATCGTTTGAACTTCCCATTAATGGTTCTGAAGTGATTATAAGGCTTGAACTTCCAATCCCCGTATTTTTAGAGCCAAAAACATCACATCTGAAAGACATTTTTCGAAATTTGACTTGAAAAGAGCTGGAAACTGTCGGAATCTACCCACAGTGGCCTGAAAAATTTGATTTCACCGGGAACTCGCCGGAAACTGACTGAAAATCACCGGAACCCTAATTCCGGTGATCGAATCTAGAGAAAACTGAATGGAATCTGGTTGGAAATACTGGGCGACCTCAACAGAAGAAAACAACTCAAAAAAAAATGACCGGAGCAGCAGTCACGCGCCAACGCGTGAACAAATCTCACCGGAAAGCTTCCATCTCCGATCGGCGCGTGGGGGCGCGTGGGGGGTTTTTTCCGGTGGATCTGATTGGGGTTCGGTCGCTTGAGCTTCCCGAGCCTCGTGATGGTGTTGTCTTTCGCACAACACCTTCAGAACGAAAGATGACACAAATCAATCCCAACCGTCGTCGCCGGAATTTGACACGATGACTTAAAATATCTCACCAATGCTCTGATACCATGTGAGAAATATATGGGGAAGATATTATTGAATTGTGTATCTAAATTGTTACATTGAGACCCTATTTATAGATAATACATTGAAATCCTTTTCTAACTAGGATTCCTATTCCTATTCTTCTTCCTATTCTAAGTAGGAGTATATGTACATATTTCTATTCTAACAGTAACAAATTGAATGAATCATGTACATGAGTTCACAAGTTGCATCTTGCTCAAAAGCAAATACTTTTACATTGTAGAATAACCAATATTATGAGATAACCAGAAATAAAAGTAGGAAACTAAACTCTAAGTCAAAGACTTTATATACAAAATGGTATAAATATAATTATTTAATTTACTATTGGGTTATCGGTTAACCCATTAAGAAAAAATCTCAAATCATTAAGAACCGCGAAAACCCGATAACAAAAAAAATCAAAATTGTTATCTAAATGGTTAAATCAATAACTCATTACTGATAAACCAATAACTTTTTTTGGTTTGAATTATCGATTTTGAACGGCTCTAATCATGAGTGTTTTACTTACAAAGTAACTTAACCCTCAATTAATTTTTTAATTAAAATTTACTTTAATGAATTTTTTATCCCTAAGAAAAAAAAGTATACTGTCAATTATACTTTGCTTAAAAAATATCCAATTTCATCGTCAATATGCTATGCTTAATATTTTTTTTTCAAACTGGAATGACGTTCCTATAAACACATATTAAACGGTGTAGAAAAAAAATCATAAAACACGCGGAATGTAAAGGTTCTTAAAATAATAAATCTTAACTTTTATATTTGGGAGGAAAAGGTAAAATAAAATGATCGCTAATATATTTTTAGCGGATGAGTCAAGTAGGTGGGTCATCTTTTTAAAAATTTTAGTTAGAAATAAAAATTTCAAGTAAATTTTAATTTTAAAAAAAATTAATTGAATATATTGAGTGACTTTATGAAAAAAGAATTCATAGTTGAATAACTTTCTGAGGAAAAAAAAATCATAGTTGAATGATTTTTGGGTTAAAACCAAAATTAAGTGACTTTATGAATAAAAAATTCATAGTTGAATGAACATTTAAGAAAATCAAAGCTTTTCTCAGTCTGTTAAAAATTAGAACTGATTTCAAACAAGTGCATATTTTGTATTAAAATCTTTAATCCAACTAACTAATCATCTACTATTAAAAATATATTCATTAAATAATATCATTATTATTTGGTACGTATTTGTTCACCAATCAAACTAACAGTAAACAGTAAATATAATCATGAGTCCTGACCAATAATAAATATTTAGCAGGATTGGAATGAAGGGACCAGTAATCATTTTATTTTTTCCATTTGAAGGTAGGACACTATAATAAACAACAAGTATCTGCAAACAGGGAAGTATTAATTTCAACCCGTGAACAACATAAAAATCCAAAAAAAAAAACACGAAAATGCACCGACCGACAATATTAAAGTGCCAAACCTCTAATAATAATTCATTCCCCAAACTAAAAAAATAAAACATAAAAATAAAAATAAGGTCCCATCAAAGGATGATATTGATTAACTTAATTAAGAAAAATCCAAAACCCAAGTAAGTAGGCTCCATTTGTTTAGCTACAGGTTTCACGAGCAACCCCAACTCTAGAATTTGGTACATCAAAGAGAATCCGATGATTCTGTTGCTGCCAGCTGGCGATTACGTTGAGTACAGAGTTCACTGGATCAGCAGGGGAAGCAGCCATTGCTAAGCAAGTGGTGCTGCTTGAGCTGCTTTTAATCAGGAAGTTGTCTTGCGGCAGCGTCACGTTCATTCCGGCGAACATCAATGTTATTGTTGGAATTGTTATGGGGACGGTGTAGCAGGTGTCGAATCCGCCAAGTGACGTCACCGTCGTGTTCCTCCCCATTCTCCTCCTGAATTCATTCCTCACCGCCGTGTAAGCTGGCTCAACTAGTCTGGTAAACACAGTGCCTAACAATTCCCCAAAAAATATAAATTAGTACTAGTTCTGATTGATCCAATATTAATTACAAATAATAATTTAAAATTTGATTATACCGGAATCGATTATTGTGCCGGCGCCGGTGTTAGAGTTGAAAGCGAATGCACTGGGAGGGATATCGACGATTCGTTTTCCGACTTTAACTCCGACCAAATTGACATAGTAAAACGATGATCTCCTTGGGTTTCTTAGCAATGGAGTGGTTTTAATCCTTTGGGGCTGGCCATTTGGGCCTAACCTAAGTGTGCCAGAAAAGTTGGGAGATTTGTAACTGGGCAAACAATAGGAAAATGTGGACTTGTAGAGGCTTTCAGATTGGGAAATAAATGATAATGAACCACGGCCCAAAGCTAATAGACCCTGAGGTGGAGTGTTGCTGCCGGAGATTTTTTTAACACAACCAAAGAGGAATTCGGGTATCGGATCGGTGGCGAGTGCCAATGTTTCAGATGAGAGGGTTCCACCTACGCTCGAACCGCCGTAGGTTAGGTTAAAGGTGCAAGTGGCCGCATCGCAGCCCCGTCTTGGTACCTGAATAAATATTAACATTGATCGATTATCTAAATTTTTACGCGATTCATATCGAATCCTAATTAAGAAAAAAATAAATAAAAATAATAATGTATTGATCAACTCATGTGACGAAAGTCACGGGCCGGATAACACTGCGGCTGATTGCATTGTTACCGACAATGCCATGTAGCAAGGAATAATTTCCAGGCCTCACGCGCCGTATCAAGCGCGTTACCTATTTCACCAATAATTACAAGTCTAACAGGATCTTAAAGGAATGATTAGCTTAATCTAATTTCTACCTACTTTTTCGGATTTTGCTCTTTCATCGAGTAACATGGAAGCATTTCTAATCATACTCCCTCCGTCTCATTTTATGCACCATTTTTTTTTTGTCAGTTCCAAAAAAAAAATCACATTTTCTTATATGATAAGTATTTAAAGGTATAATTCTTCTTTTACCCTTGTTGATTCCACTTAATCTTAAAATAATACTCCAATATATTTATGAGGAGGGAGAAAAGTGAGTCTACTTTTTAAAGAGCAATTTGGTAAACATTTCAAAGTCTTCATTTATTTCTTAAACTCTGTGTCCGGTTAAATGTTGCCACATAAAAGGGGACGGAGGGAGTATTGTTTTTAATTCTGAATCAATTAATGTTAACACACAGTTTAAACCCTATTTTTTTTATAAAAAAAATCAATGTATTTATTGTAAAACAAAGTATGAACGGATCTAGCTAAGCTCTTATTTGACTCGAATATTATCTTTTTACGAGTCATATCTAAGAAAATTTCATCGTACACTAACGTTGCCTCTGTCATTAACTCGATTTTTTTTTAATAGCGGTGGATCACCAAATTTAAAACGGAGAAAGGCAAGTTTTTCATCATATGGATATCAACTTATCCAAAAATAACAAATATGTGGTTAATATTCCATCGTAGAAGAAATGTATCTACAATATTAAAAGTTACAACTACTAAATCCACTCATTCTGATGCTACTATAATTTATGTCTCCCTTTTTAGTCTTATTTCAAAAAATGTCATTTTCAACCTGTTTACTCTGTTACAGTTTATGTCTTTTTCTTTAGTCTTGTTTCAAAATAAATGTCATTTCTATGTAATAACTTTTTAATTCTAACATACCATGACATACTTATAATCATAAATTAAAAGTTTTTGTTAATTTTCTTGCTAAGTTAAATTAAAACACAAAGTAATCCTGTATATGTTGTATAAATGCTACTCTTGTTGACACTTTTTTTCTGTTTAATTTGCTATGACAAGAATGATACATCTCAATACTTTATTAAATAATAACCTTTATATTTTAACTCAAGCTCTTATAGTTATCAATGTCATCACGTGCATCTTTATGAATAAAAACACTTTTGATGAGATCTCCAATTTTGATAAACCCAAAAGTCTCTGGTTCTTTAAACTAGGAAATGAGAAGAAGAGGATAAAATGTACTCCATATCCTTTTAATTTTTCATTGAGACATGTAAAAAACGCATTTTAATACATTTTATATATCTTAAATTTCTGATCGAAGGAGTCAAATTTCTTTTTTTACTTTCTTAAATTCATCGTCAATCAAACAAATTAAAACAGCTAGAATAGTAAGAGAGTATAATAATCTCATTTTCTCCATTTCAATTTGTTTGTATTACTTTTTTTCTTTATTCTATTCTGAAAGAAAATAACTCCTAAAATTTCAACGTTACCCCTGACATGTTTAACCATATTAAATCAAACAAACAAATTAAAACGACGAGAGAATAGTACAAAAATAATTACCAGGCTACATGAGGCACGTTCACAGCTAACATTGCTGAAAGTGGTAGACTCGTCATAGGACAAAACATTAGAAGAGCAACCAACACATCCACCACAAGGGAACCAAGAAAAATCATTACTATTATCCAAAGCCACCAACAAAGTTTGAGGTGGTGTCCCAATTTTAGCCCTCACAATATAAGTTGGTGTTTGTAGAATTTGTCTACCAGAAACTATAGGGACAAAAGATCTACCAGCAACAAGGCTAGCCAAAAATTGTAGCCTATTTGTGTCCTTATTTTGCATTTGGAGAACACTATCCACCCATGATAATGAGTGTGCATTTTGTTGTTTAAGGGGGGAACAAGGGCTGTCTACATGAATGACTTGTAGTGTTGATGAGTCTTTGTTATCTTGGTGAAACTTGGCACAATTGGGGTTGGTTAGTCCCCCTTGTGCTAGGCTCAAAATTAAGAGAAGGGATAATGAGAGAATGTTGATAGAGCCCTCCATTTGGCTTTTTTTGTGTTGGGTTTTGGTGTGGTTTAAGGGTGTTTACCTACCTCTATATATAATGGAGGAGGGATGGTGTGTACTTCACTTTTTTGATTAATTTTGAGTTTGATCTTCTATGATTTTTAAATTATTTAAAATTTACAATTTTAGTCCTTCTATTTTGATGATGTTATGGTTTCTCACATATAGCATTGCACAACTTTGTTATTAGCTCTTATGTTTTTCTTTGATTACTTCTTTGAATTGCTTGAGCTGAAGGACTTTCAGAAACAATCTCTCTACCTCATAAAGACATTGATAAGGTCTGCGTATACTTACTCTTCCCATATCTCATTTTGTGCAATTTCACTAAATTTAATGTTGTTGTAATCCTTCTACTTTTGAATCTTCACAAATTTAATTGATACTAATGATCTTGTGGTATGTTAGATTTTGTATTTCTTAGTATTAGGGAGTAGAATTCTAAAATTAAGCTAAATATAACATATACATATTAAGGGATCAAAAATACATTTAAAAATAATAATTCTAGGTTAAATACTTAAATGTACTTTATGAAATATTACTAGGACCAAAATTATAAGAGTGTACATAATTGAAGGGTCAAAAATGTAATTACCCATATTTTTGGGTAAAATCAAGATGGAGGATTTCTTTTTAAAAAAAATAAAACAAAATAGGAATCATACCATGAAGCACATACAATTGCATTAGAGTAAAAAATTCAATATTTCCTAATAGAGAGAGTACTAAAATCTCCATTTGGTAATTCTGAAAACATTTTCCTTTATATTAAGTAGGCATTTGGCTATTAAAATCAAATATTATTCATTTAATTTAAAATTTTTAAAATTGAAATTGCGTTTAATTATATTGTTATAAAAAAATATTTATAATTTAATTTTTCTTTCTTTATTTAGAATATGGATGGGACTTGGGATTAACAGTGAAGTGCAGGGTAGTGTGTGATGTCTAGTTTGATACAGACTGTATTCCATTTACCATCTCATACCCCTCACCTCTCTGTTCTCCACATAAAATAAAATAAAAAAATAAATATTAATTTCTTATTCAATTTTTTATTGTCTTCTATTGAGGACCAATGGAATATGAAACTATGGACATACATTAAACAACAAGCTTAGTAAACAGTAGTTAATTTTTGATAACATTCTATCTAATTTGTTTATTTCCTACAAACATCTAATCAAGTTCTTATAGTGCTATGCATAAATTAATAACACCACTTGTATGTTGGTCAAAATCAGATTTGCTTTTGGCCAGATCCAATTTTTTTGTCTTAAATATATTGAAATTAGTGCTAATGCCTTGTTATTGGACGCTAGAGTGTGCTAGAATGTATAAGAATATGTATATTACTGATAGTTTAATACATTCTATTATTCTTATATACCATATCCAATGACCCCTACGAAAGAAAGAAATATTTAAACAAAAAAAAAAACTTGTTCTCTTAAGGGCAGTGTCATTTGGTTTAAAAGTAAAAATTAGGCAAAAATTAGTAAATTTTTTTTTGTTTTCCACGTGGTGTCTGGTATTCATATTGGAGTTTGACTAGATTTAAAATCGTATCGAAAAGTTCCACATTGGAGGTAAAGCGCTCCTTAACAAAGGCAATTATGTACCGAAGAGAACTCGAATCCGAAATCTTTAGTTAAAAATAAAGAAATACTTATCAATCTACCACAATCCTTATGGGTAATCGTAAAGGTATTGTTACGTACTACCTCCGTCCACTTTAATTGTCATAGTTTCATTTTTAAGAGTCAAATTATAAAAAATTTGACTAACATTTTACGATGTTTTTTTTTCATCATATTGATATGCAAGAAAATTGCAATTTATAGTACTTTTCGTATAGTTTTTGAATATCTAATTTTTTTGTTTAAAATATCGAATTGATGTAATTTAATTTAACTTTGAAAATTAGTCAAATTGACTTTTGAAAAATACAATATGACAAATAAAAATGGCAAAAGGAGTAGATCATAAAGAAGGATTGTTATTTGTTATACATGAATTACTTACTCTAATGAGTTATGTGGATCATTGAATTTTTAATATTACTCCCTTCGTCCCATTTTATGTGAGGTAGTTTGACTCGGCACGAAATTTAAGAAAAAAATAAGGACTTTTAAAACTCGAGGTCTAAAATGAATGATAGAAATTTATGTGGCTGTAAATTATTTTATTAATGGTAAAATAGATATTTTATAGTCAAATTGTTACTTATTATAAAAATGTGTCATTCTTTTTAGGACGGACTAAAAATAAAAGTAAGTCACATAAATTGGAACAAAGGAGTACTATTTACAACCGATAAAAACGAGGAATTATTAACTATATTATTAATTGTTAGAACATTTTCTTCATCTATACATATCTCTTGCAGTCTTGCTGCAAGTACAAGTAACTAAATACTAAGAAAATGAAAATAAGTTGCATATACAATAAAGTTCCAAGAACACCAGCCCTAGCTAATTAAAATATATATTATTGTCTAGCTTCCTAATCTAAAGCATATATATTATTATTCAATGCAATTAAATTTTTTTTGGGTTAAAAATGAAACATGGAATGAATAATGATGATTCACTCCATGTCAAATGTTTCAACGTTTATTTCCCGTTGAAGTGTTGTACACATTAAATTTAGAGTACCGTTGTAAGTAAATAGATTTTTTTATACATATTATTATAACTATTTATAAGTTTGACTCTCTATAAAGAGAGTGACATTTAACGTATATTTTTTTTCTTGTTACTTTCTACTATGCAGATAGTCCCAACTTGACTAATTTAACTGATAACATACGATTAAATTTACTCTAGTAATATCTCAAAATCGATACATAATGTGATGGAATAGATTTCATATACGAGCTACTATATATATATTTTTTTTTTTAAATTACTTTATTTGAAATATTAAAGTTAGAGTTGAAATGGAATTATGTTTGGTTATAATTTTTGTAAATAATATTTTATTGTTTGAATTTATTTTTTCCTAAAAAAACATAGTAATATAATTAAATGAAGTATTTTTTATAAATATAAAAAATATAGGTAAAATTTGAACAAGGAAAATATCTAATAAAAGTAAAATAAGATTTTGGGGTTTTTTTCAAATTTCAAATTATAATAAATAAAAAAAAGTGAACGAATATTGAGAATTTTTTTTCTTATAACCAAATGGATCCCTAAAATCACACTTTATAATCCCTTTGCGAATTAATCATATGAGGCAATAGAGTAGTACATTGGGACATAGATTATGGATTTAACCCCAACAACAACTAACAAAAATGAAAAAGCAAAAGGCAACAAGGGAGAGACCCACTCAAATAATTCGATTTATTAGTCGTTTCGTTTTAATTTATCATGTAGTATTATTTGATTAGACACATACAAAAATAAGATTTCTGAATTTTATAGTCTGAATAAACCTTAAATATTTGGGTGATCATAAATCATTCCATTAAAGATTAATTTATTTTTTTTAAATTAAGTTCTTTCTAATTATAATAATGTAACATTCTTTTTGAACAGAGACTAAATGGAAGAATGAGCGCATAAATTGAGGCAAAGAACATTTTACTTTAGACAGTAGTGGATCCAAGTAGTATCAAGGGGATTTAATTAAAATCCTTTTGTTAAAAAGTCATACTACTATATATACAAAAAAAAAAATTGGTTATATAGAAGTTGTTGAATCTCCGTGACATGAAGAAAAATATCAAATGTAGCTATAATGGGGTTCAAAAATATTGATTAAGGTCATATATATGTTAAAATTACAATAATGATATCATAGAATTTTTTTTGAATTTCTTATATAAATTTCTGATTTCGCCTGTGATTTTGAGACATGGCATCTATATAGCGGAAACATTTTTTGCGTGTGATATATCATTTGTTATTTGGATTTAACGTACCATTTGGAGAATATAACTAGTATGTAATTTAGTGAACATAGCACATGCATGAGGAAAATAAAGACTGTCAGTCCTCAGAATGATTGAGATATTCTATCACTAATAGACAAATTAAGAGTAGGGACACTTAGAACAATAAACGAAGATTAATATTAGTAATTATTCAAATGTGGTAATTAAGATCTCGATCTGATAACTGATACCATACTCTATGTAAAAAAGGAGAAAAAAAAAAGATCACTTAAACCCTAGAGATCACGTGTTTACATTTAATACATAATTGACTTTTAAGAATCAACAAAATTAAAATGAAAACAATGCATAGTATTACTTAGTCATGTTAAGTGTTGAAAAATGTATATGTAAATTGTACGTATATGTTTTACATTGATTGATTTGGTGTGAATACTCTATGTATTTGTCCATGCTTTTAAAGTTTATAGTTAAAGGATATATATGGTAGCTAGGAAAGATCAATATAATAATAATAATAATAATAATAATAATAATAATAATAATGAAGCATTAAACTAATTGAGATATATATCTTAGATAATTTTCTATAAATTCTTCAGAGGAATTATAACAGTGCAATTTCAATTATTTCTCCTTACCTTTTAGCAACTTAGAGAAGACATGCAAGTTTTCTGAATTTGGTGGAAGCTTCCTTGACAGTTTTGCCTTGCAAGATTCTTTCATAAATTAATTATTGGATTTACTACCTCTCTCGTTGATAAGTGCAAGCAAGCCTCGAATCCTCAATTTCGTTCTTTAGCTCTAAATTCCCACATTGAAAAAACTTAGATATTTTAAGGAAGAAACACATTTATTTATTTGTTACTATGTATTAACTACTAGTATGTTATTATGGTGGGGTAGTAAGTTATTCCTTCATTATTAACTAGAGGTATTTGGTTTGAGTTCCCTTGGATATGAAGTCGTCTTTATTAAGGAGCGCTTTAAGATTTCTGACGCGAATCTAAATTTAATCAGACTTCAATATGGATACCGAACACCGGATGGAAACTAAAAATAACTACTAATATGTTGTTATTGTATCATTTGGACGTACACTTGATG